ATAATAATACTAATACTACTACTACTACTACTACTACTACTACTACTACTACTACTACTAATAATAATAATAATAATAATAATAATAATGTGGTACATGGGAAAATCAACATTTTTATAGTTAGAGCCCTCGGATTGATTGGAAAACATTCCAGTAAACTCATTGAAGGGATTCCTGGAAATCCATGCCTTAAAGAAATACAAAAAAATATTCTCACGAGTACAGCACACACCTTACGAAGGGCTTTATCTATGTAAAATATCTATCGTTTTATTTTTTTTTGTTTGTTTGTTTTTAAATTAGACAGTGGAAAATATCATGACGGCATTTCTGGGCTTAGATCTCTGGGAGGGACCCGGAAAGAAATGTGTACACAGCCGAAATCAAAGAAAACAAAACAAAAATAATAATGATAATAATATAAAAACAGGAGTTATGATTAAAAATAATACGGATAATCATTTTATTAAAGAAATCACAAGACACTAACTGAAATAGTGCGTGCATGTGTGCGATATAACATCTCTCAATGTAATATTGCGAAAAACTTTCTAAGAAAAAATCTTACTTTACATCAGGTCAGAGATAAGCCTGAGGAAGGATTTGTATTACACAAAAAATAAAATAAAAAAGTATTTTTAATAATAATATTAATAACCATAGTATACAAAATGCTTGACGTAATGTTTCCAATATTATTATCCTTATTATTATTATTATTATTATTATTATTATTATTATTATTATTATTGTTGTTGTAATTGCTGCTGTTGTAATACTAATATCTAGGAACAATTGATCATCTTGTATCAGGTTGCAAGGTATTAGTATCTACCGACCATAAAACTCGGTATTTTGGGGTGGAAAATATGCAGCATTTATGGCAAGGAAATTGGTATGAACACTCTCCAGCCACAGGTCCTGTAACAATTTTATGAGACTGTAAAATATGCACAGACAAAATGATCTGAGCGAATCGCCTAGACATAGTGATCAAAGACCACAAAAGCAGCATGTAATTTCTTATTGACATTATGGTGATTCCTGCAAAATGTAATATAGCTTTGAAGATCAAAACAATTATCTAAAATACAAGGAGAATCTTGAAGTAGAAATCTAAAAAAATGTAGCATATGAAGACATCAATAAACAATAATTCCATTTATGATTGGGACCCTTGGTTAGATTAGAAAAGTTTCTCCGTCCAGGGCAAGACGATAAATTACATCCGCGTCCCGGGTAAGACTATAAACTACATGCGCCTCCTGGGCAAGACTATAAATTACGTCCAACAGCAAGGTCTCAGTTCTGGAGGTTTTAAGAAGAAATGGACCATCCTTTAATTTCAGGTGTTCCAGATCAATCCTTAACAGGGGTGGTAGCACCTGTTAGGGTTCCAGATATGTGGAAATAGTTAACCCTCAAATTGGGGTCAAACCACTATGAAAGTGTAAAAATAGGTTTTAATAACAGAAATACTTCGTAAAAAAAGTATTATCAGCAATAAAATATTGATGAAAAATTATTATCAGCAATATATTTTTGAAACAAATATTACCAGCTATACATTTTTGAAAAAAATATTAACAGCCGTACATTTTTGACCAACAAATGTTAGCAGAAATAAATTTTTGAAAGAAAAAAAATATTACCAGCAATTCATGTTTGAAAAAAATATTACCAACAACAAAAATTTGTCGACATTAAATAGGCCATTGAGGTTGATATGCTGTGAAACAAAACAAACCAAATCAAACCAGACTAGAAAAGCTTTGGATAGAATCATTGAAGTGTTCCCTGGCAGTCTATGCCTTGAGGAAATACAAAAAAACAACAACTTGTTCTCACAAGCACAGCTCACATCCGACGAAGGGATTTATTTATGTTTAATATGTGTAATCTTGAAGTGTTTTGTTTTATTTTCATTTTGAATCCTTTTTAGAAAAATGTTCAGTGAAAATGTCATGAAGCCATTTCTGATCTGTGGTTTCTCGTTGGGATGCGGAATAAAATGGGTATAAAAGATAAATCTGAAATAATAATAATAATAATAATAATAATAATAATAATAATAATAATAATAAGTATAAAAGCCGGCATGACAAAGTGGGCTAATATTTGCACTGGAAAATTTGCAACTTCTACGAGAAGGAGAATGAAAGAAACTGGTATGAACACCACCCAGACCCGGTCACGAAGAATGGATCTGTTAAAATTCTATGGGACTACACAATACACACTGACAGAACAATCAAAGCCAATCGCCCAGAAATTGTTATGAAAGACCACAAACAAAAAAATGTGCCTCATTATTGATATGGCAGTCCCTACAGACTGCAATGTATCTTTGAAGATAATCAAAAAGCTGTCAAAATACAAGGACCTTGAAATAGAAATCTCAAAAATGTGGCATATGGGAACATCAACAATCCCTGTTGTAGTTGGAGCCCTAGGATTGGTTGGAAAAGATTCCAGCAGACAAATTGAAGGGATTCCTGGAAGTCTATGCCTCAAAGAGATACAAACAATTGTTCTGACAAGTAATGCCCACACTTTACGAAGTGCTTTATCTATTTATTTTTTTTTTTTTTTGTCAGTGGAAAGTGTCATGATGACATATCTAACCTTAGATCCCTGAGTGGGACTCGGAAAGAAATGTGTAAACGCCAGAAATCAAAGGAAATAATAATAGTAATAATAATAATAATAATAATATAATGAAGATCTTAAAAAGCTATCAAAATTCAAGAGCCTTGAAATCGAAATTTCAGAATTGTGGCGCATGAGAACCTCAATAATCCCTGTTGTATTTGGAGTCATGGAATTGATTGGAAAATATTCCAATAGACGCATCGAAGGGATAACTGGTAGCCCATACCTTAAAAAGATACACAAAACTTTTCTCACGAGTACACCCCTCAATTTAAGAAGGTCTTTATCCATGTAAAATATGTGTTTTTGATTTTTTTTTGTTCAATGGAAAATGTCATGTTGCCATTTCTGAGCTTAGCTCTCTGGGCGGAACCGGGAAATAAATTAGTGCACACCAAATATCAAATGAAATAAAATGGTACTAATAATACATCTTCAACATACTTAACTTGACTATAACTGACATTAAGCGAATGAATGGCATAAAGACACATCTTCTCTCTAGCCACCGAACGCATCACACTAAGGCTAATGTTGTTCCTCTGTATGTGCCCAGATCCGAAGGCGGCAGAGGATTAGTTCAACTATAACTGGCTTACAAAACCAAAGATACCTGGAAACTAAAGAAGACTGGGTGATGTTCTGTGTCAAAGAACATGAAAGAAATAAGAAACCCTATTCAGTAATGAAGAAAGACAACAAAGGCAAAAGGGAATTTCAAGTGGGTGAATAAGTGCAAATAAAACATAATACACATACTTCGACGGCAATGAACATACAAAATAAATATAAAGCAAATGCAATGTACAAAATGCAGAATCAATTGCAAGATAATGCTCTTTATGGTCAATATATGCTCGTACCAAACAAGCTGATGTAGATAACCCTATACTTCTCGTTGTTTACGTCGTGCAGGGCTAAAAGATGAAAGTGAATATTTTATTCTTGCTAAGTAGATATTACCAAGCACACATACTGAAAAATTGTGTTAGTCCAAAATGCAGATTCTGTGATGAATACCCAGAAACAACTAAGCATCTTGTTGCAGGGTTAGCACCCCCCCCACCGAATATAAAACTCAGTATGATTGAGTTTTCACTGGAAAATATAAAACATTTACTGGAAGGAAACTGCAAGAAACTGGTCTGAACGTCACACAGACCCGGCTACATTGTAAGGACATATAATATTTGTATGGGACTTTACAATATGCAGACAGAAAAATTAAAGCTAATCCTCGAGGTATCGTGATCAAAGCCCACAAGAACAAAAAAAATAGTCTCTACGATTCTAAAGTATCTTTGAAGATCTTCAGAAAACGATCAAAATACAAGTATCTTGAAATGGAAATCTCACAAATGAGGCAGATGAGGACATCAATAACACTTTTTCTAATTGGAGCCCTCGACTTGTTTGCAAAAGGTTCCGAGAGACCCCTTGAAGGAATTTCTCTAGCCAATGCTTTAAGGAAATACAAAAAATTGTACACACAATTGCAGCTCGCATATTAGGAATGTTCTGTAGGATGTTGATACACGTTATTAATACCTGAGCATGTCCAGCCCATTATCCGTTTCACACACACGCACACGCGCAATATATATATACTTTCGTTTCCCCTATCTGGTCCTTTTCACGTTATCGTCGTATTTTTATCTTTTAATTAGATATATTTTCGTTATTTTTCCCTGAATTTCAACAATTTCGCTTGTACTGCAGATTATCTTTTTCATATTTCTCTTCCTTTGAGATGATTTGTTTTGCTGTTGTCACTCGTCTTCAACTTGCGGCAGATTGACATTCCGACCTGTTAAAAAGTTTCAGATTTGTTCTTAGCTTTGAGAGCAGATGTTTTTTGTTTTTTTTTCCAAATGAAATCACTGCAAAATATTTGCATTGTTGTTGGTTTCGTTATGCTTTAAATATTACCCATTGTCTGCATATAACTGGGAGCTATTCGCTACTACAGATGGTGCTCGGTTTTATATCTCGGTTTCCTTAAGATGAATCTCTAACTTCATGAAGTAAATTTGTCTTCCGTTTTTTATTTTATTTTCTGCACTTCTCTTAAACTTTCCACATTATTTCAAAATGTTCATTCCTCAATTGTAGCTTATTTTTCTTTCTCTCATTGTAATATTGTCCTCCATTCATAATACTTACATCGTTTCTTTACAGATATTCCGTTTCTTTTTCTTGCCTTCTATTGAAAATCGTCAAATGTTCGCTTTGTATTGCGTTTTCTTTTCTTTACATCTCCTTTCTCGTAATTCTGTTTGAACTTTTTTTGTTCACTTTTCCCTCACCATTCATTTTTCTTTCCTGTTTTCTAAGTTTTAATTTCAGAATTATGCTCTCAATTCTTTTTCTCGCTTTATTTCTTTTTCCCCGTCAATTTTACGTGTCTTCTCTTCGCTTAACTGACAGGCGCTGCGCCAATCAAATATTAGATTCTGAGATGAAAAAAACGACAAAATATAAAATAATTTTTTAACACGGAGAGACGGTAAAATTAATAAAATTAAATTTTACCATTTTTTGTATTGCTGAACAATATTTTTATAACATTTCTTTCCTTGCTATATTATTTGATAAAAATTTCTGTTCTGTACCGTATTGTAAATATTTTAAGAGATTATTAGCGTTTTCAATATTTTTACGATAAAATATGGTTTCCATTGTGTACAATAACGCCAGTATTTGTCTGTCTGTATGTTTATACGTATGAATGCAATTTAATATGGTGTTTTCATAAAAAAGAAATGTTAGACGCTTTGTAAGTGGTGATTACTCATTAGTAAAGATTGCACACTAGCATGGTCGCGGAGATTTCGCCAGAGTGTCTTTTCTGGAAGCCACCGAGTGGATAAGCACGGGTTCTCAAATGGACAACCGATTTGCAGGCGTGAGAGTACTTTCTACTACTCGAGCCGTTATACGAAGAAATGCTGCTAAAATTATCGGACAATCTCTCACACATCATACACACATTAAATGGAGACGACGGATTCCTGATCAAGAATAACTGAAATATTAGTGAAAATAAAATGTAATATTAATTAATGAACATCCAAGTGACAGGTTACCATTTAAACGGCACACCACTTTAGACTACGGCACGCATTTTAAGTTATATATATATATATATATATATATATATATATATATATATATATATATATATATATATATATATATATATATATATATATATATATATATATATATATCTTCCTTGTGGCTATCGGTGTAGGATGTTTGGTCTCAGTCAGTTTGGTATGAGGAATCCGAGAACAGGTTCTTCCTGATGGTCGATTAGGCCTTGGATGTTTTCTAGGCGTCTTCTTTTTCCCTCTAGTTCGGATAATCTTTTGTTTTTTTGGATGATTGTTCCGTCTCTGACAATGAATCTTCAAAGATTCCCGTCCATTGCACTTGATTTCCAGCTGCTGACGTCGATATATATATATATATATATATATATATATATATATATATATATATATATATGAGATAAATATAGATATATATATTTTATCGGTAAAAATGCTGAAAATCAGAGGCAAACCATGTGTAACTATAAAAGTGGACACTGGTGTCAACTACGAGAGGAGACTGTTTCATGCTTGAACGTAAATTTAGGCCATATATATATATATATATATATATATATATATATATATATATATATACAACGGCATACAATGGTAGTTGGTAAGATTCGATTATGTTGAAAGTGGTAATTCAATGTTCTCAATATGAAGTAAACAGAGCCGTTGAAATGTAACACGAATAAAGAATGAAAAATAAAGTCAGAGCTACTAGAGATTCAGACGCATATTGAATGGTTTTTGGATCAGCTTCAGTCATTGTCTTATAATGGTAAAAAACTTATGTATCGTGAACACATTTTTTTTTATCATCGAGTTCCGCAATAGATATTAATACTTTTTGCTTGGAAAAATCTTATGATATTTCCAGCACTCTTATATAATACTGAACGTGTATATGGAAAGATCAAGAATACAAACTTCACCACATGGCAGAATTTACAACATTTCTCCCCCGCCCCGACCATGTAACACTTACACACCCTTACTGCACTCCATCTTTTATTTGTTTGAGAATTCGTTTCATCTTTAATTTTCCAAACGTATTTTGACAGGTTAGTTTTATTACTTTTCAATTTGAATGATGTTAAGTATTTATTCTATCTTTGCTTTTAAACGCTCCCTCGGTCGAAGCAATGTAATTAATCGTCTCCACATCGGCTTCAGTTCGGTGCACAATGTTGCCGGCCAAACCCTACCCGCTTAATTATCACTTTTTCGACAATAACACATTTTTATATTATTCCTGGGCTTACTCTTCAGCACTTTTTGGTTATGTCCCTTAAAGAATTTCTCCATATTGTTCATCGTGATATAACTCATTGTTATAGTATGCTCTTAAAAATTTTATAGAATACAGTATTTACCAGTAAGTTCTAGTTCAATATGTAAAATATATATATATATATATATATATATATATATATATATATATATATATATATATATATATATATATGTATATAGAATAAAAAAATCGCACCTAGATAGATCAGATAGATAGATAGATAAAATCTGTCATTATGACCTCAGGCCTTTTTTTCCGGCAAGAATTAATTTGGACGTAATTATTTTTGATAATATACACAAAATGTCTAAAAAAATCTTAGTTTAAACAAATTTAAAAAAATCTTAGTTTAAACAAATTAAAAAAAAATCTTAGTTTAAACAAATTAAAAAAAAAATTAAATCAGTAAAAAACAATATAAAAAAAACAACAACAATTATCTGTTTTGTGAAGGAATTTCAAAATCAGTTTTGCACCACAAAATGACGCTACAATTTCGCAGACTAATTTTGACACCGGAGAAACAAGATATTTTTAATCATAATTTCGAAGGATCTTAAAAATAAACTTTTATATGAGAAACTTTGAGCTTTTTCTCAATAATAACATAAAGGATTTTACGATAAAAATTTAATTTATTATGTTTTGGGTGTTTTCTATATAGGCTCATATTTTAGCGAATTTTTGAAGGTGTCTACACTTATCTATGTCTGCTTACATTTATAATTCGTATATCCTGTATATGTGTGCGTTTACTTGATCGAGTTCTCGATTAAAGCTGGAATATACAAGAGAAATGTTTGTATATTTATAAGAAAGTGTGGTTAATATTAAAGATAGGTTTGTAGATGAAATCAATAATGCATGTTAACAGTCATTTTCTTGATTAATACGACATTCTGGCATAGTCTTGCAATATCATATATATAATCTTGCAACATCATATATATATATATATATATATATATATATATATATATATACACCGTGTTTATAACAGCAAAATTGTCCAAATGTTAGATTAAACTCTGAATTGTTATTTTTTTAAATGATTACAGATATTTCTCCGAGGTTTCTTTAGAACAAACCTTCGCAGGTTTTGCATTCAGTTTTCCTTCACCTAAACCAGTTGCTTTCCAAGACTATAAGACCCAGTCAGTCCTGATATTTACCCATATAAGTTGGAGGAAGAAGAAGTGCCTATTAGCATGTAAGCGCATCTAATTGATTCGACTGGAATTCGAACTCAGCTCTCAAATTCTTCAATCCGTATCGATATCTATTACTCTACCGTGCCTCATCATAATTTGGCATCGTAAATATGATGCAATTCATCAGACCTACGAATTCAAAAAAGAAAACAGAAAAAAAAACACCCCCGGGAATAAAAAATAAAATTTACTGAGAGGGTATATATGAGAGCGTGGGACGAATATTAGAGTAAATGAAAGCTATAGGGAGGGGTAACAGACGAGAGAAGAACAGAAAGGTCTAAAAATGAAGGGCGGATTAAAATTTAACATAGAGAAGTTTTAAAGAGGGGAGTCAAAGACGGTTTCAGTGAGAGAAATATGAATATACTCAGATGTCTAATATATTAAGGATACATTTTGTGGTGACATACACGCACAATAGACGATTTAAACTTAAAGATCAGAACATGAGAGAGGGAGAAGAAAAGAAAAGAAAAAAGTGGGGGAAGAGATGTGGTGGAGGGAACTAAAACCGAATGTATGACCATGGGATATTAGTGTTTAAGCCTTTTTATTATATCCTTACTCTGTCCTGGACATTGAGTTTTACCTGGATTCTATCCTCTTGGATTTATTTTTTATACAAATATATATGTATGTGTATGTATGTATGTATGTATATATATTTATATATATTTTAGATATATGATTGCATATGTATGTATATATTTACCACTAATCTTGTACATATATAAATATATATATATATATATATATATATATGTGTGTGTGTGTGTGTGTGTGTGTGTGTGTGTGTGTGTGTGTGTGTTTATACTATATGAAATGGATTAAATCCCATAAACATTTTAATATAACTTCCGTTTATATGTTATTTTTGCTTACACTAATTTGTATAAATATTCGCGGATGAACGGTCAGACTAAACGACGATTCCGTATAGGATACAGGTTCGATTCCTGTTGGAGGGCGCTTATTTTCTACGAAGTTTCTCGAAGATTCAGTCCCGTAAATGTAATTAATACTTTTTAATTTAAAAAAAAAGAGTATTTACTCAAGCAAGTTTATCCAAAAAAAAAAAACGTATTCGAACTCGGCTCTATGATTTTTCAGCCCGAATCGCTAACCAATTATATATATATATATATATATATATATATATATATATATATATATATATATATATATATAGCATTAAATCAAAAAGATAGCTAGATATAAATTTATCATATAGACAAAACCATTTTACTCACTACAATGATGCAACTTGGTTTCAGTGCATTTCAACTGCACTTCGACGGGTGAGAATCGAAAATAGTTATGAACAATCCTAGTTGTAGGCAAGCCGTGTGTGAAACGTCACTTCTTTTTTTCGATTTGTTTGAGAAAAAACAAATTATAGGTGACGGAGTGAAACAATATTGCTTCATAATCAATGAACGTGTTTTGTGGATTAAAATTTAGAAGTGGTGATTTCCACTAAAACAAATAAGGGATGTTAATTTAACCTTTCATAATCAAAGTTTGAAATATTCCTGGATCGTATAGCGTGTAGAATAAGTATGTGTGTAAAAAACGATTTATCTAAAAATATTACCAGTAATATATATGAAAGAAAAAAGAAATAAGAATTATAATTTAATTAGTGGAGAGGTACATAAGAGGGTAGGGAATATATCAAAGGAGGTGATTTAAATTTTAAAAACGTTTATAGTTATGGAATTAAGAATTTAACAAGATTGTAGTGTTAGATCCTTAATATTTCTACATATCTATCTATCTATCTATATATATATATATATATATATAGAGAGAGAGAGAGAGAGATAGTAGAGGGAAAATTC